TATATATATATATATATATATATATACAGCGATGAGGGATACATAACTTTGTTCTATAATAATATTTTATTTACAAAGTTTACTTATTTCTGCGTTTTATTTCCAAAGTTTTTTCAGTATTCACCGCCATACTGATAAAAGTCCAGCCCTGTAAATATCTTTATTTTAGACGTTCGCGCAAATCTACATAAAAGTCTGTCTGTGCTCGGCCATCCAAAACTTCGACTAATAAACAGACTTTGGTAAAGCAACGAGACGCGAACCATGGACATTAGATTTCACACATTAAATTTGTAATAACATTTGGTATCTTGCAACACAACATTTACTATAATATACGTCATAAATTAATCTTTAGTCAATTCTTGAGTCCCCCACTAGCGGATATCTTTAGTTTATTTCCACCACCACTGTAAAATATATTTGAACTAAAGCTGTACATGACAGGAGAAACTGATTAATCTCCATTAAATCTGTCAGCTGTGAATCATGTTACTAGCCGAAACACATCATTAGTCTATTGAAAAATGTTTCACAATATATTTTCGTGAGATACATAGGAGCCAATTACAATGCATCTTTCTGAACAAGATAAATAACCGAATTAAAAGATAGATAAAATACCTGATTTATATCCGTGCTTTCCATGATAGCTTTAGCAATAGTTTTTACAAAGGTTTCGCATATATTCTGGACTTTTTTACGACACGAATCAAGAAGAGTTGAAAGAAATAGTTTTTTGACGACGTCTAGAGCTTCCTCACGTATAACGTCTTTTAACTTAAATCCAACATCAGAAGAAATAAATTCGAGAAGACCTTGTAACGATTCTATTATGGTATCTTGTACTGATACATCAGATATTCTTACAGTTTCACGGTTGGCTACTTTCATATTGGACTTTAGAGAAAGCAGTCTAGTGAAAAAATTGGTGTGATGTTTTACTGTAAGTTCTGGTGTGCTGTCTCGTTCCTGCCTTTCAAAACGTGTTGATTTTTGGGATTTGTTTCCACTTCTACGTTTCACCAAATGATCATCTGTAAAATATATACAGTTAGTGACATTTATATCGGAATCATTTAGATAGTTATTTACAAGTTTATTAGAGGAATCCAATATTAATATAGCATGTTATGTCAATGTGATATTATTAGCTATTTTACAATCTGATTTTTCTCTTCATATTACAGAGATGTACACTAGTCTTTTAGAACATCAAATAATTTTTAATGTTCTGTATCCAAAGTCTGTAGTAATATTTTTTCTGTCTGTATTACAGACAAAAATAGCAAGTACTTAAATAGAATTTAATGTTAATAGTATATAATATTTTCTTTAAATTTTATGGTATTTCAATATTTAAAAAACATAAACAACAAAAATTCATTACTTTTTACGATATTTTTAATGTTCCTCGACTTATATAAAATAAATATTACTAAAGTGTGTTTATTTGAGGATTTTTCTTTTCCTCGACAAAACGTATAATTCAGTGACGAACAGAAAAAAAATCCGTCAACGAAGCAGAGACTTCATCTATTCTTCGATTTTCTACTCTCTATGCAGTAGACTTGGTTTGCTGAATTCCAACACCTAAGGAATTTTAGGGTATTGAAGGAATATACATCAACATCTACAAAGAGTGTTTGTTCATGTACGTAACTCCCAGTCTGTAATAATACAGAATTTATGAACGAGTTTAATTTATTGGAGTGAAGAAAGCGTACAGAAGTGATACAGCTCATGTTGCTTAACGAATGTTTTAAATTCGTGTTCCTTACCTGTTGATTGTGTGTCCGGTTCCGACTGGATACCCGATGTTTCAGTTGAACTTTCTTCCTGACCTCCAAGTTCCATTATTAATAATTTCTGTTTCAAGGACAAAATATTTTTCTCTAAAACTTCGCATCTCTGGTTCATTTCCTGTTGTTGTCTGTGTATCTTACATGCTAAATATACAACGTATTCCTCAACCGTTACTTCAGGAGGTTTACTCTGAATAATACTCAAAGCTATTGCAATCTTGGCGCGCCAGATCCATCGGTCTTGAGGTTGAACTGGAGCAATAAGGGAAAAACAATTATAAAAGTATGATTTCCCAAACCTTTAGGCTTTAAATGTATATATATATAAACACACACATAAAGGTTTGGTGTTTCCTGTTTTCTATATACGTTGTTTTTGCCATTTAGTTCTTCATGTTATTTTACAACAAATATGGTACATTTTATGTAAAAATTCAATCTTTCCACAAGGTAATATATACGACATGTTATATTGAAATATTAAATATGTAAATAAAAATATATAATCCTGATTTTATTTCCTTAGAAGGATAAACAGGGTTTATAAAACGCGCATGAACGTTAGACTTATTTTTATTTTTAACATTTTTATTAATTTAAGCCACAAAATTGTCACTTATGATATTTAATCAAACATTTATCACCTTCCTATAAAAACCTCTTTCGTGCTAAATATTTCTCACACTTAAATTTACAAAAATCTTTCAGAAAGAAGTCACAGAAGTATTGTTTTCCGGGTGTGTTCATTTACTGAAGATTTCATAGTGTTCTTACATCCTAAATAAAAATGACAAAAAAAAAAAAACTAACAAAATTCTTGAGAATACACAAAACTTAAAATAAATATGAACTTTTACTTGTTATGCGTGTGTTAATTAAATATAAGCTTTCACAATAGAAAATTTCAAGAAAGCTGATACTCATTCCTTTCGTCCTGACTTTTAAGGCTAAGATATATTGAGCGAAACTAATTCTTAACATACTTTTAAATATTTACGAGTTTAATTTGTCGGAGGAAAGAAAGTGTAAAGAGATGATATAGCTTGTACGTTTTACTGAATGTGTAAATACGTGTACTTTACTTATTGATATAGTGTTTGTAAATCATACAAATAAAAATTCAATGAAGGAAAACCAAAAATTCATCATAGCAAGACAGTATCTGGGGGGGTAAGAGCTTCATACCTAGGAGGATACATCGTCTATTACATTTAGTTTCTATTCACAAGTTTCCTAATTAAAATAAAATAAAGAACGCAGATATGAATACTCAAACACACAATGTTCTACTTCTAATACTACAAATAGCCGCCTACAGCCAGATGTGGAAAGACAAATGCTCTTAATGAAACAGCAAAGTAAAGAAAGCGAATTAAAAATAAAAACCGATTACTTCAAATGGGTCGCTGGAGTTCATATGTAAATCTTATTTCCAGAAGTTGACGTTACTGTCCTTATAATTGTTATATACTTTTGAGAAAAACATACAACTGACCTTATAATTGTTACATACCTTTAAGAAAAACATAAAGAAAACTAAGATGTTTTGGATTAATAATCTCTACTATTATAAGAATAAGAAGCTATATAATGTACCCTTCACTTTCCACAAAAGTAATAACAATACGCCTTCTCTCTCATCAACACGGTGAGAAAACGTGTGCTCAGTTGTGATAAATAAAACGCATGTGCTAGTTTACCAAAGTGAACCTTGACATATGATGAGCTCCAAACAGGTATCAAGTTATTGAAGTAACCTCTATTAGAAACATTTTTCACTGTAACAATTTCTGTCAATTTTACATAAATGTTTCTACTATTATAGTTTAAACATGAGTAACATTTTATATTATCAAATACTAAAAATCTGTACAAATCAGGTTGTTGAAATTCAATAAGTCCTATCACTAAAAAGGTCTACACTAGGGATAAAATATCCTGGTTTATTATATCTTCTTCAATATCTAAGAAACTGAGAAATACAATTTTTTATTCTTGTTAAGCGTAAAGCTATAACATGGGCTATTTGTTCTCTGCCCACCGAGAGTATCAAAATTTAATTTCTATCATTATAAGCCCCCAGACTTACCGCTTAAAAATTCTATACTATAATGTGTAAGAAGTGTATATACTGTGTATCCTATTGTTTGTTTATTTGAAGTTAAGCACAAAGCTACACAATGGGCTATCTTTGCTCTGCCCACCACGGGTATCGAAACCCGGTTTCTAGCGTTGTAAGTCCGCAGACATACCGCTGTGCCACTGTTGGGCACAGTGTATCCTACAGACAGAAGTTGAATTTCGTTAGCTCTACAAGTTACTAAAACTTTTCAAAATGGAACAAAAGAGAAACGTAAACGCAATAACTTGTTATTAAATGCTTTTCATCTAATGTACAGCACTAAACATTCTGAACTGTTATGATGTTTATCGTTTTTAAATGGAATACATTTTAATGAAACTTTTTCTTTGAGATATATTTTCAATCCCATTTTTTCTTAAGTAAAGTATAACTAGTACAATAACATGAGTTGTATAATCAGAAAATGTATATATTTCAGGCTATGTCAATGTTAATATCAATGTTATCTCCACCCTAAAATGTGTCATACTAAATATTTAATGATGCCAGAATAGCCTTTAGTTTGTTTGTTTTTAATTAAGCACAAAGCTACACAATGGGCTATCTGTGCTCTGCCTACCACGGGTATCGAAACCCGGATTCTATAGTCTTTAGTACCCACGACATATGACAGAAAACGCTCTTATGACTACACTATACATAGTAAATATTAATACTTTTATATTCTCATTCAAACATATATTCAATACATTTTTGAAAGGGGATTTTCTAGTATTCCCTGTATACAGTGAGTCTGATTTGAGACTTCAAGTTGTCCCATTGACCTTGCAGGAAACGTTCACGGTTGACTTACTTGCAATTTTTTGTAGTAAAGTAGTTAGAAGTTACAACGCGATTAGAGCCATCTGTTGACCGTACACAAAACAAAGGTTTTATTTGTTTGCTATCAATTTTATACAAATACTATAAATCATTACAATGATGCATTATCGCCTCCATTATCTATAATAAGTTAATTAATCATATCATGTAATGTTTAAATTTACTTTCTTGAGTGTACTGTTGTCCCGAAACTCTTAAAAATACAGAGGCCTGTGAATTTAAACTTTGAAAAAGCTGTTTTGGTTTTATTAACGAATTTTCCATAATTCAGCAAATTTCGAAAATAATATTCAGTTTTTTCTATCACGTAAGGATATTTTTATAAATCGGGAAGAAAAAAAAACTTTTACTTAGATCAAATTATTATTTCGCTTACCACATTGAACATTTTTTATTATTATGTTTGTTAACAAAAATACAAACAGACTGAAGAAAATGGGAGAACATTGATGTCAAACGAATATGCATCCTCATTCATCCTGATTTTTTTGTGAAATCTACGTCTTTTAGTCTCAAAACTACGTGTTGTGGTCTTTATTTTATGTATTGCATCTGGAGCATCTCGTTTCAATGACCAGCAGTAATCAGCCATCATGCTGATGTTCCACTTTCCCTGATACCTCCTCTCTATTTCCCTGATATCTAGATGAAAGCTTTCCCCTTGTTTTTTGCTGACAGCACCAAATTTTCAGGGAAATAATCAATATGCGAGTGTAAGAAATGAACTTTCAAGCTCATATTACAACCCAACTCTTTGAATTTATTGAGCATGTTATTGACAATATATTTGTAATTAGGGTCCTTGTTGTTTCCAAAAAATTTGTCAATAACATCTTTAAAGGCAATCCACACTTCTTTTTCCACTTTCCTCATTGTCCTTTCGAACTTTTCATCCAAAGTCAATTTCCTAATCTGAGGCTCAACAAAATTCCCTTCTGAAAGAGCTGGTAACTGCCCATATAGATACTTGAAACAGTCGCCATTTTTGTCTAAGACCTTTACAAACTGTTTCATCAAGCCCAGTTTTATGTGAAATTTAGGTAATAGGACTTTCTTTGTGTCAACCAAACTTTCACATCCAATGCTTTTTTCATCCTCTTATCAGGCTGACTCTGCATGGTCATTGCTTCTTTATCCAGTGCTGATTTTATGCTCTGGTGTCACACAAAAAATATGGAAGCTTTATATAACCACATTGTTGACCCAACGACCTACAAAGGACTTTTAAGTCTTCACAAGTAGCCACCATGTTCTTTGTATTTGACCTTATAAGAAGAAGTTTGAGATTTTTATATGTTTCCTTCAAGAGAATCAAATGAACAATAGGAACAGATACATATATGTTACCATTGTGAGGGAGAACACCTTTTAGATTTCTTTTGGAGGAATCAATGAACAATCGCCAACTCCTAGCATTGGTATTAACAGAAATACTGTTGCAATAAACCAGTCAACCTTCTTGCGAGAAATGTGGTATAAAATCTTTCTCATGATTTCTGTACCAGTAAAATGATGTTCTTGGAGAAAGTAAGTTCTTAGCCTGAAGTCTGGACCCCAAAACCTCTGAAGAATCCTTTATTGTCGTTCACCAGACATTTCAGGTTGAAAATAATCCCTATCATCATTTCTGTTGACATTAGATTCAGAATCAGATGAAACTGTATCAAGACTCTCCAGTTGAGTAGGTACAAATGCAACAGGTCTTATAACAGATTGAAGGTTCAGATAACAAATTTCCTTTTTATTTCAAGTGTTGTAGCCTTGCACGTTACATGAACAAAAATAGAGTCATCTTCATGGTTTTGAGGCTCATGCCAGACCACTGAAATTCCAAAAGGCAAAGACATTCTCTTACTTTTAGTCCATTGTCTCAACTCTGACACAAATGGTGCCAACTTTGTGTGGAGCCTATGATTTTGTCTTTGTCCCCAAGTTTATTCCAAAATATGCATAATATATTTTTTGACGAATTCTGTAATGTTTTGCCTTTGTTTTTTTACAACAAATTTACCACAAATATGTTTGGGTCACTTTGGCAAATAAATAATATTGAAAAGAAAAATATAATGGCAAAGTGCACGCATAAACAAATACTATCAACAAATGGCATGTAATGAAGCCTTTTAACTGTTTATATACTAGAAGTGTGTTTCTCGTGGGTTCTGGGATTGGTCTAGAAAAATGTATAACCAGTGGTTGTCAACATTTTAAGCACAACAAAAGTGACTTTATTTCAATTAAAATGATTTACTTATGTAAAAGTACATATGACATTTTGGGAAAAATC